TTTTGAGTAATGCATTTTGAAATTATCATTGATTTTTCTTCTTCACTTGCAGAACATCAACAGCTGTTATATTTTGGCAATGGGTGAACCAATCATTCAATGCTTTGGTGAACTATACAAATAGAAATGCCAACTCTCCAGTAACAACAACTCAATTGGGTGTTGCTTATGTATCAGCTACTGCATCTGCTATGTTGACTGCACTTGGCTGTCGGACATTTTGGGAAAAAAGAGCAAGTACATTATTGAATGTAAGTTGTTGATTTATTACCTAGATGTATATCACAGTTCTTACATCAATAAACTATAAACATCTGCCATTTTGTTCACATTACTAGAAAAAAATGGAATTTAATCTTCAAATTCAATCACATTCATATATATTTTACACTTTTTTTGTATTTTATCATCTATTAATGTTGCAGTGCCACCTACTGGTATATTAATATTCTCTTTATTAATTTTATTTAATGTTTTGCTGTGTAATATTGAATTATAAATTTTACATATTAAAGAACAACCTGCTAGCCTAATACCACAGGTGGATATGGTTAAAGAGAATTAATAGTATATATCTTGCTAGTTGTGGCAAAAAAACTTGAGAGGGTCAAGAATTTTAAAAAATTGACATTTTGATGGAATTTCCTCTCAGAGGCAAATTGCATTGGTCAATAAGAAAAATATTTATTTCTATGCAAAACTAGGAACTGAGAAAGCGTTCAAAACAAAACAAAAATGAAACAAACAAAAACTTAGAAAAGAATTCTAAAATTGTTTAATTCTTTTTTTTTTATAGCGATATGTTCCTTTTGCTGCTGTTGCTGCTGCCAATTGCGTGAACATTCCACTCATGAGACAAAATGAGCTTCTTCATGGAATTGATGTTTGTGATGAAAATGACAATACAATTGGCAAATCACGGGTGGGGACTTTTGATTTTATCTTCTAGTTGCTGAATTTCATAAACCATTGCATTTCATATTATTAAAAACACGTTGAGTGATTTTATCTAACGTAACTGTCATGCTAGATTTGTTTTGCCGATGAGCTTCTCTATGTATATGCAGATTTCAATAAAGTATTGATTGAAGTATTTGTGGATTTGTTGTAGGTTGCTGCTGCTAAAGGAATTTCTCAGGTTGTGATATCCAGGATTGTCATGTGTGCACCAGGCATGAGTAAGTGATATAATGTTAATAATGTCAATTAATAATGTGATTAAAAGTAATTAATTTGTTAGCAGAGTTTGCAGACTATTGAAATACTAAATTTGTGTCATGAAATATTTGTATATCATTTATAATGAATCCACATTGAACTGAATTCAATTTAAATTACGAACATTTGCAGGCTATTTTGAAACTAGGGCACAAATTTAGTACAAGCTTTCTAGTAGT